ATGAAGTGTGGACTCTCGTGCCTCCTCCTCATAATCATCCCATTGTCGGTATGAGATCTTTGCTCCTGTTGCACAACAAGTTAGATGACGCAGGATTTATTATTTGAAATAAAGCTAGATTGGTGGCAAAAGGATTTACACAAATTGAAGGGCTCGACTACGATGAGACCTTTGCTCCTGTTGCACGTCTTGAAGCAATCAGAATCTTTCTTGCTTATGCTGCTCACAAAGGCTTCAAAGTTTACCAAATGGATGTTAAGAGTGCTTTTCTTAATTGTGAACTTGACACTGAAGTATATCTTCAACAGCCCCCGGTTTTGTTAATCTCTCTTTTCCGAACTACTGTTACAAACTCCGGAAGGCAGTCTATGGCCTCAAGCAAGCTCCTCGTGCATGGTACGAGACCCTCACAGATTTTCTCAAGCGCTCCACTTTCCAAAGAGGTATCCTAGATCCTACCCTGTTCCGAAGATCGAATGGAAAGCATCTCATGCTGGTTCAAATCTATGTGGATGACATCATTTTTGGATTTACGGATTCATCTATGGTTGCTGACTTTGCTAATCTAATGATCAATCGATTCCAAATGAGCATTAATCGGGAGTTAAGCTTCTTTCTTGGTCTCCAAGTCAAACAGACTAACAGAGGAATTTTCATTCACCAAGAGAAGTACATTTCATAACTCCTCAAAAAGTACTCAATGGACACTTGTGCCTCAGCCAAGGTACCAATGGGCTTCAGACACAAGATCTTTGCCGACCCTTCAGGTGTAGCAGTTGATGAAAAGAAGTATAGAGGAATGATTGGATCCCTACTCTATCTCACTGCAAGTCGTCCGGATATCATGTTTTCTACATGTTTGTGGGCCAGATTTCAAGTCAACCCAAAGATGTCTCATCTCTTGGCTGTGAAACAAATTTTCCGATACCTCAAAGGTACAAAGAGTCTCGGAATCTGGTACCCAGCAAACGAGAGCTTCCTACTTGAAGCATATTCAGATTCAAACTATGGTGGTCTTCAACTTGATAGAAAAAGCACATCAGGTGGCTGTCAATAGGTGGTCGTTTGGTTAGTTGGTCATCCAAGAAACAGAACTGCATTGCACACTCTACAGCCGAAGCCGAATACATTGTTGCTGCCAGCTCTACCTCTCAAGTTCTATGGATGAAATCTCAACTTTTGGATTATGGTTACCGCTTTCAACGCATTCCTATCTATTGTGATTCTCAAAGTGCCATTGCGATTTCACACAATCCAATTCAGCACTCCATTACTAAGTACATTGATATAAGGTACCATTTTACTTCATGACTAAGCCCTATAAATAGAGGTTTTCACTTCTCAAATTCCACACTTCAAAAATTCACTCCCTTTCTCTCTTAAAAGTCAGTTTCGACATTCTATCACACTTTTGATGGTGCGAAGCTTCGGATGCGATAGCCAGTGTCTTCATGATCATGATACTAGGGTGAGTTTCACGACCCCACTTTTACAGTTTTAAAAGATTTTGTAATTATATTAGTAGTTTATATATATATATATATATATATATATATATAAACATGAAGCGATAGGATAATATGCTGGTAGAAACTTCGCCTAATCTTAAGCAATAATATTATGCCTCTAATCATTATGCTACCTGATATACTAGGAAAAGATTATACCTAGATGTTATGTTGGCCGATTTTTTAGGATAACTTAGTACCTAAAAGTAATGTTGGCCTTAGACATTGTACTTAGCTGTTACTCTGCCTTAATATCCTGTTATATAGATAATCATAATTATTGTGTGTGTGTGTATATATATATATATATATATATATATATATATATATATGAATAATTATAGAATATTCACTCATTATAATTTTCTTATATATACATATTATAATTAAGTATATATATATATATATATATATATATATATATATATATATATATATATATATATATATATATATATATATATATATAAAGTGATAATTATGGAAGAAAATGGAAGGATATACAATGTACTTAACTGTACCATAACCTATCAAAGAAAATCTATAGAAAGATAATTATTATATATAGGGTTTAGTACATATGAATAATTATGGTATCAAAGAAAGACTAAGTAAGGAAAAGATAAAAACGATAATCATACTTAATATTAAATAAACACGTGTTAGTGAGCTGTTATTATTCATTCCTTAGCCTGATTAAATTCGGCAAACCCGAACCTATAATCATTAATCTTGCAAGAGCCGGAAAGATATGTATAGATCTATACGGGGATGACACCCCAACTGCGATTGCTAGCTACAATCCCGGTATGATAACTTTCTTAAGTATAAAAGTAATATTATTCAATGTCCGATGAAGCGTCGTGTGGGGTATTTATCGGTCCACATCATCGATTATAGGGGCTCATGGTGATTTTGTTCAAAAAATCTTAATGTAAAATTGCCTAGAGCCACACCTTCGATTAGTTGCATGATTCGATTAAAAAGGATCCGATAAACAATTATAAAACTTTAGGATATGTGTTATATCCTAAAAGAAAGAAAGATGAAGCGTCGTGTGGGGTATTTATCGGTCCACATCATCGATTATAGGGGTCATGGTGATTTTGTTCAAAAAATCTTAATGTAATATTGCCTAGAGCCACGCCTTCGATTAGTTGCATGATTCGATTAAAAAGGATCTGATAAACAATTATAAAACTTTAGGATATGTATTATATCCTAAAAGAAAGAAAGATCTCTGAAGAAAGAATTTTTTTTTAATATTAGGATAGATAGCGCATTGTAAGGATAAGATTTAGGAAACGAATATAGGATTATTAGATCTGGAAATCCTAGGAAAATAAGGAACTTATGAAAGATAAACATATTCATAAACAAAGATCCTAAAAAGTTTTTAAAGAATTTTATCCATATTTATAAAACCTGTGAACTCACCAACAAGAAGTTGAAGTTTTTAAAAATCGCATGTGTTCCTAAGATAAAGGGAAGCTCAACGCAAGGAAGAGCAAGCTGCATGAAGATGGATAGGTTTTAGTTTAGCCGATGTAATTGATATTATTAAAGAAAGATAAATTTATGTTATGAGATTGTGCCACAGGTCAATCCTCAGTGTTTCCGTTGTCGGCCGAGGGCGTGACATCAAATTATACCATTATGCCTGAATATTGTAGGTTTCAGTTGGTAAAAATGAATTTTCTGGCCAAACATGAATCTTTTGGTGAAGATTGTGAATTCCAGTCAAGATGACATACACCCATGAATATGGAGTTTTAGGTTTCAAAAATCGATTTATGTGTGTGTTTTTTTACACAATTTCATTTTCCAGATCTAACATCTCAAAATTGATACAAACTACAAAAAAAATATACAATAAATTAAAACCCTGGAAAACGATTTCTTATTCTTGGAATCGTGCCCCAAAAAATTATTTCTTATTCTACAATCAAGCATCAAAAAATTTAAACACACTGTAAGTTATTGGTGTTTGTGTGTAAGACAGATGGGAGCATCTGAAATTAATTTTAACGTGGACTCCTTCCAGAAATCGTTCCGGATGAAGTTCTGTAAGCGTTACAGAAATCGATGTTCTTGGGTCAAAAATCGTTCAAGAATATCCTAAAGTTGAAAAACAACAAGTTCAAACCTTGCATGCATGTGAGAGAGTTTCTTGTTTAGATCGTTCAAACACACAAAATGCCACTTTCTCCCAACACCACAAACACATGATTTTCATATTTATTTTTTCTTCAGTGCATCTCAATATATGGGATTGTTCTTTAAAACTCACCGAAAAACAATTGTTATTGACCTCCTTTAATCGACGCACCAGGCCAACTTCAAGACATGATTGGACAAAAAGCCATATTGGCCAGAGACTTGCTAGAGAAGATGATAATGCCCAGTGATGACCCTGGGGTGTGCGAGTGGTGTGGTAGCATGGGCCTCCGATTTTAAGGGGCCTCCGAATTTAGGTATAAATATATAGTAATTGTGTTGGCATTTAATAGGAGGCATTTTTATGTGGTATTATTAAAGAAAATTAGCAGTTAGCTATATATACAATCTAATATTTGGTTGTAATCTTGAAGTAACTTTAATTGTGAATAAAATAAACGAAAAAACAAAAAATCAAAATATTATCATAAATTCTATAATTTATCAACAATTTAAGAAAAGTATCTATACCAAAAAAAAATACATACATGTTTCTAATATAAGTTTAAGAAAATATTATAGAATTTTATTAAACTCACCACAAAACATCAAACCCTAACAAACCTAATAACGGTATCAGTAGATCACCGATGTTACTCATCTCTCTCGCCGAAAACTGTCTTTTTTGTTGTCTTGAATCTTGATCTCTTTGAGTAGTTGGTTATCTCTTTGTCCTCCTTTAAGTCTTATAACTGACTCTATGGTTATAGGTTAATATCTCTTATATCTTTAAATTTCTCAAGTTCCAACTCTGTTTGACTCTTTCTCTCCTAGGCTAAATGCTCCTTTTTATTTGAATTATTTATTTATGAATTCATAATGAATTTAATGAAGGGTTAATACCATAAAAGCCATAAGTTTTACACCCCGATTCTAAATTAGCCCTAAATGGATTTTTTGTGTCTAATTAGCCTAAATAATTGTGACCACGTTTCAAAATCGTTTTATCAGCCGGTTAACAACAGGTTAAGGTACGCAGCCGGTCACCACTCTCCTATACTACTCGATCGTTCGTACACCACCAAATATCACCTTTCACAGAAACGTCTTGCATCAAAAAAGAGTTTCATGTATTTGGTCTTAGGAAGAAGAAGGGTTTGAAAAGGGTTTCTTACACCATTGTTGCATGCAAAAAGATTCTATTTGAAGTTGAAAGACACTGAAGTAGAAAGGTACGTGGGATGCCAATAATAAATTGATGTGTATGTGTGTTCTTATCTTCCATAATCGAGTTCCATAGTGTCACTTATAAGTTTAATTTTTCATCTTGAACATATGGCTTCATCATCTGGAACTAAAAAGGTGAAAGTGCCTGAAAAGGTTTATGTAAGGGACGAGGACTCTGATGATGATCTCATAGATTTCTCTTTCCTGGATTTTACACCAGAGACCTTTAAACCAACCTCAAACATGTCTGATGACCCATTCCTTAACATATTATGTGATGAAAATATGCTAAGGAGGACTCTTGATGGAATGGGAGATGATGATCAGGAAGCTGGTGTTAAGGATCCAGAACATGATCATATTGATGATCAAAATGATGGTGAATTGGGTGTAGAGTACAGGGTTCATGATCCAGACATCCATTGGAAACAAATGAAGCATGTAGTGGGAGAGTGTTACGAGTGCCCTTCTCAACTCAGGTTTGGATTAACTAACTGTTCAGTAGCTAATGGATATTAGTTGTGGTTTATGAAGAGTGATAGGCATAGAGTGATTGCTAGGTGTGGGAAAATATATAAAAAAGACCCATGTCCCTTTAGAGTTTATGCTGCTTGGAAGTATAATGAACGAACATTTCAGATTAAATCTATATGTGACATACATCTATGTGCTAGAAATTATAATTTTGGAACTTTGGTTAGTTGCAACTGGTTAGCCAAACATTACATGAAGGATATTATTATGAAGCCAAAGATGACATTAACTGAGATGAAGGAAGATATACTTATGATGTTTTCAGTAAATGTATCTAAGGGGAAATGTCATAGGGCTAGGACAAAGGCAAGAGAGATGATAGAAGGTAAGTTAGAAGAACATTATGCAAAGGTATGGGACTATGCTGCAGAAATCCTCAAGTCTAACCTAGGGAGCACTTGTAAGGTGGGATTAGATTCTAATGCAAGTGGCATGAACTATTTCAAAAGGTTTTATGTGTGCTTAAAGGCTTTTAAGGATGGTTGGAATAGGGGTTGCAAATGTGTGATAGGTTTGGATGGTTGTTTCCTAAAGGGTCAGATCAAGGGAGAACTTTTGACTGTTGTTGGAAGAGATGCAGACAATCATGTATATCTAATAGCATGGGCAGTGATTGATGTAGAGAACAAAGATAATTGGACTTGGTTTATTGAGCTGTTAGTTGCTGATCTTGACCTTGATTGTGGTAGGGGTCTTGTGGTTATCTCCGATCAGCACAAGGTAAATTATATTGTAAATTTGTTTAATTATTATACATTTATAATACTTTTGTTTATTAAATGTCAGGGTCTACTACAAGCTGTTATAGAACTACTTCCATATGTTGAACATAGACAATGTGCCAGGCACATCTATGCAAACTTCAGGAAGAAATACACTGGATTAGAGCTCAAGAACCTTTTTTGGGAAGTTGCCAAAAGTGCTGTGGAGGGGGACTTTATAGCAACAAGGAAGAAAATCAAACACATAAATCCCAATGGCTATGAATGGCTGATGTCAAACAAACCACATTTTTGGTGTATGGCATTTTTCTCTCATGGATATGCTTGTGAGGCTATAGAGAATGGCATATCAGAGTGTTTTTAATTCGATGATCATTCACATGAGAAAAAAATCACTTCTAACAATGCTTGAGGAAATCACAATTTATTCGATGAATAGGTTTTATCATCAAGTTGCTACAGTTTCTCAATGGAAAGGTGACTTTGGCCCAAACACCTTAGAGAAGATTAAGGAGTTTGGAAAGCATATGAGGTATGCTTATCTGATTTTAATTTTGATCTTAAGTATATACATGTGCATTAATAATTACTTATAATTTTAGGTTCTGGATAGTAATACCAAGTGGAGGGGCATTATTTGAGACAAGACATGGATATTCAGCTTACATGGTGGATTTAGATGCTCATTCTTGTTCATGCAGATTATGGGAGATATCAGGGTTACTATGTGTCCATGCTCAAGCTGCAATCCATTTCACACATAGAGATCCAACTGATTTTATTTCATTTTGATTCCATAAGGACAAGTTCATAGAGACATACAGGGACAACATCTTACCTGTTAATGGAAGTAATATGTGGCCCCATAATGAATATTTGAAGCCCTTACCACCCCTTCTCAGGAGAATGCCTGGAAGGCCAAAAACAAAGAGAAGAAGACATGCCTCAGAATGTCAGGATTCTAAGTTCCCAACTCAAAAGGCAAATGTTAGCAGGACTGTTAGGTGTGGGAAATATAGGGAACTTGGTCATAATAAGCTGTCTTGTAAGAATGGAGAAGTTCCAAGTGACCCTGTCCCTAAAAGGAAAAGTGGTAGACCAAAGGGAGATGGGTGAGGGAATTCAGTTGTGAACATTGCAAAGACACCAAAAGAAGCAAATGAGGGACAAAAGAAAGATGTTGATGGAACATCAAAAGAAGCAAGTGAGGGAAAGATGAAAGCTGTTGAGGGCACATCAAAAGAAGCAGGTAAGATGATAGATGTTGATCAGTCAATTTCTCCTTTGACGAGAATGAAGATGATGGCAAGGAGGGGAGGTAATATCAAATATGTAGGGAGAATAGAGGCTGTGCATGGTAGTTTAAGTCAAACTGTGGCAGGTGTTGATGAAGTTGTACTTATCTGCCATGAAAAGCTTGACCATGAAGATTTTGAAACTATTAGAGATCTGCAGGCATCTGGATATGATCATGGGGAAATTGTTGAAGCTTTTAATAAGGTGTGTAGTTATAAATTTAATTATTAGCACAATTTTCTTGAACATTATGTGATAATATGTTAATTTCTTATTCACAGATGACAAAAGAAAGGAAGGAGATGTTGGTTGAGAGTATAGTTGATGAAGAGACCATTCAAGAAACACAAGATCCGTTGGTAAGAAAAAGGAAGCCCTCAGAAAGAATTATCAAGATTAAGTTGAAAAAAGCAGTGCATGATCCAGATGGAGGTGGTTCAACAACTGAGAAAGCACTTACATTGGACTGATGTTGCTATGGATGGGGTTAATTGGACAGAAATCATTTGATAGCCCTTTTTTTGTGAAAGCGTCTTTTGGTAACAAGCTTCCAATTTGTTGACAACATGTTATCTTTTGACTGTAAATTGTAGTAAGTACATTGTCATTTTGGGAAATCATCTTTTGGCTTGTAAACATTGTTGTAAAATTGGAAGTTTGGTTCTGATTGTTACCCTCCATGTATGTATTTGGCTATTATGTTTATAAAGATTGTGTTTTGTAGTAAGTTAAAAGTTCAATGTCAGTTTGTAATGGATAGTACATTGTCAATTTATGGTTATGAATTGTGTTTATCATTATATCACTATGCTTTATTGGTTTGCTTTTTTAATGTTTGGTGGCGGGGTGGGAAGGTGGCAATGACTTTCCATATTTGGCTTCTAATATTTATATAAGATAGTCTAATACTTAGAAATATTAGAATACAAGAATTTTGTTTGATGCTCTAACTATTATAATCATTAATTTTTTGATAAATACCACACACACACACACACACATATATATATATATATATATATATATATATATATTGATTATTTTAGTTAAAAAAGATTCCGCCTACTAGAAAAGTTGAATTAGGTTGTTCTAAACGTAAATGAAAAAAAAAAGAACAATTTATTTATAGTTAAATAGGACCTATTAATCGATTTATCGTCAACCAAATGTCAGAATACCATTGTAATGAATACTTAGTTGTGGAATAACATAGTGAAGAAGAAGTTGAATTGTGTGTGCTAGAAAACATAGATAAAGTTCATGAAGTTGTGAAAAACCCTACAGAAGAAATTTAAGATGTTGTGGAAGAACTTAGAGAAGAAGAAATTGAACTGCAAGTGCAGATGATATGCATTGTGTAGGTGAAGATATAACCATCTTCAATGGTACTGGTGATGACAAAGAAGATATTCTAGTGAACATTTATGATCCTAGAAATTGGAACGTCTAATGAATGAAGTCATGATGTTGTGGTAGTGAATTTACTAGATGTTTGTTAGCAATTTTGAGTTTTGAATTTAGTGGTAGGAAATTTACTTGATGATATTTTACAAGAAAATTTTATGGGGCCTCACTTTGATTTTCGCACAGGAACTTCAAAATATCTGAGTCGGGTCTGATCGTGCCCTAGAAAATAGACCATTCTTCACCTCCTTTATTTTTTTGTTGGAAAAATCATGTTGGCTGGAGAGTAGCCGGAAAGATAATCAGAGAGTTGTCAGAAATGAAAAAAAAAACTGTTTTACCTGCAATACCTGGTCATAATTGTATATTCTGATATGTAAACAAGTTCAATAATAAAATTATACAATAAACTTAAATGACTAAATATATATATCTCTTATAAAATTATTAAGTTTTATTTTGAATGTTATATTTTTTCTAGAACATCTAGAACATATAATATTATTGCAGAGTATATTTTGTTTCAAAAAAGAAACGCATAATTATTGTAACTTTCACTAAAACTTAAAAAACCCATTTTGAATATTTTATTAGGACTCTATAAATTAAAGGCAATAAATCAAATCGTACATCACATAATCATATTATATATAAAAAATATGTTATAAGATTTGTATTTTGGTATAAAAGTCGTTTAGTGGCTGTCCCGGTTTTATTTTATTAAATATTAAATGAAATTGAGATATGTTGATTTATTCATGAATTATTGAGGTTAGTTAGAGCTTACGATGTTTACTAAAGTGGAGTATTTATTTATTTATTACTTATTGGTTTTTATATACCCACCCATGAGGGAAAAGTTTGGTGCTTCCACCATCATTTAATTATTGTAATTTTGATTTTAATTTTTATAATTCTATATAGAATATTTTTTAATAGTTAATGAAATAAATAAATATAATAAATAATTTAGCTGAGATAAAATTAAATTAAATTGAACAAAAGTCACCAAATATAATTTCAAATATCTAAAAACTCCTAAGTTGTAGTAGTTTGTTTTCCATAATTATATTTATTAGGTGTATCCGGGTCAAATTGACCCGACTCATTTTATAAGTACTAAATCTAACTATTAACACTTTACTATATCATATATATAATATACTAACTTAATTATAACAGATTTTACACCTAATATAAAAAAATCAAAGGTTGTTTTTGCATTAAAATGATGCAAAATACTCTACTCATTTTTTATGTTGGTTGTTGTTGCTCTTGTTGGTGGGTCTTGTGGGCCAACACACATCACTTTTCTTCATTTGTTCTATTATTTGTTTCTTTTTCAAACTTTCGATTTCGTATGTTTAAATTTGGATTGTGGCATAATGTCCCATGATGTTCTTGTGGTCTCATGTACACACACACACAATTGATGACCATCACATTCACATGGGTAGAATAGTAACTTTCTTATTTGCATTTAATCTTTTGGTCTCGTCAATATTTTGAACGATCTTATTTACCCCTGCGATAGCTTTGTAGCATTAATTTCATTAAAGTAGGTGTTGAAATTAAAATTCTACAACAAAAAATTATTACATCGTAAACAATTATTATGAAACGCATTAACTGTTGCATAGATTGTACGGGGTAATAATTAAAAACACTTTAACTTCAAAATTTTTATTATAAGAATGAACATAATCATAAGAAGAACGATACTAAGTCTTGTGAAATGAATAAGTTGTAATCAATTAAAATTATTGTAGATTTGGAAAAAAAAAATAAAGACTAGTCATATATTCACATTGTTACTACACAGTACACATAATACTTGAGTTGAATATCAAATAAAATTCCTAAAAGGAAAATACTAAACTGAGCCCAAAAGCTGGCCCCTTTTTAAATTCATGTTCAACTTAATTGTGCATAAAAATCCGGTATGAGCCATTGAGCGGCCTTTTAAGTGATTTAACTGGTTCATGGCCCAAAACCAATTTTTATAATTTGTTCGATATAAGATCCACATAGCTAAATTGTTAAAGTTTGAATTATTTTATTTTTTCGATAAAATATAATTGATTTAATATATTTTAAGTAATTTAAACATTTTACTCCTAAAATATCATTATTTTCATTGTATTTTGTAAAATACAAATAGTTTGTTATCAATTTATGACATTAGTCAATGATGTCTTGTAAAAAGTAAATAAATATTTCGTCACCCATTTATGATATTAAACATAATTAATTATTATCTTAGTGTATTGGGTCGGTGATATAATTGATTATAGATCAACTTAGGAAAATGCAAATGTTACAAATAATGGTGTAAGTTTTGTTCTTGGGGGCATTATAATCCTCCTGGTAACAAAATAATTAGATGCTCTAGAGAAGATGAAGGGTCATCAACCTACAGGCGAGTGGAAGGAAGTCTGATGGAGTAAAACCAATGTCAGAACTCAGCAGACCAACGCTCTCACAAACTACTTCGTGGCGGGCTTTGCAAATGGCATCGGTAAAGAGGAGTTGTTGAGGTCTTTCTCAAGATATAGAAAAGTTGTTGATGTATACTTTGGGTGGAAGAATGATTACAGATAGAAAAACTATGCACTCGTCAGATTCATCGGAGTTGACGACGCCAAGGCGTTGGAGACAAGCTTACAAGGTATCAAATGTAAGGAAAATGTTCTAGAGGTAAATATCGCTAAACACCTGAAAAAAGGTCATTCAAAACCAACGAAATACTGCATAATGTAGGACCCCCCTGCCAGAGACAGGAGGTCCCTCCTCTCAAAGCAAGTGCAAAAAGTAATAAAACTTTTGCTCAGGTCGTGGTTGGCGCTAGAGACCAACAAGCGAGTAACCCTAACCCTCCTATCACAATAAATCCAAATACTTGTATGAGCAGGTGGCTAAAAATTAATGTTCTAATCGGAGAAACTCACAGTCTCGACCACATGGGTACACTTCATGCTTCAAGGATAATAACAGAAGAAACAAAGTATCATGGTGGTTTAAGACTCACCATTCACTTCAACTGCCCCAACGATGCAACAAAGTTTTTGGAAGATGAAACCAGGTGGAAAGATTGGTTCAAATGGATGGGGAAAGCCAATCAATAGGAACCTCACTATGAGAGAATAACATGGCTGAAAATCCATGGTGCCCCCTTGGAGTTTTGGGATGAAGATAATTTCTCACTCATCGCAAGTAGTGTAACACCCTTGTTCAAGAAATTCCATTTTGTACCTTAAGTTTTTGGATTTGTTGCAAAATTGGTCCTATGACTTGTTTTAGAGGGACACACCCTTTTGTGGGTATGTTGGGCGTACGTGGCTGATGCCCAAACCCTAATTTTTTGAGTTTGAGCCCTATTTAAGCATCATTATCTCGTTGAGAACCCTTCATTCATCAACCTCAATTTCCTAATTCGTCCCTAACAAAGCCTGATCCTTTGTGTGAGCCTTTTGAGCTTAAGAGTGCATTTTTGGTGTTCTTGAAGGAAGGAAAAGGAAAGGAAATCATCTTGGAAGCTTAAGGCACTTTGGACCCAGAAGTATCTTGCCCTCAAGCATCATTTGGAGGTATAAAGTTTGGATCTTAATGCATATTTTCTTTGGATTTTGCTAATTCTTAGGTTTTCTATGCTTTTAGTCCCATAATCTTGGTGTTCAAGTGTATGGCTTACTCTAACCCATAAGAGTTGTCCTTTCAAGCGTTTTTAGGTGCTTAGAACCATAAAAATATGATCTTGGTCCCTTTCCTTTCTTCATGCATGATATATGAGGTTTTGGTTTGTGTATAAGTTAGGGTTAGGTTGTTGGACCCATTCTAGCCTTGGAAAGTCATAACGGTGGAAACTTTTATGACTTAGAATGTTATTTGGAACCGGATTTGAGTTTTGGACGTGGTATCTTAATAGATTAAGCACTTAATAGAAAAGAAATGATGACAGCTGAGTGCGTTGGGTGTACCTGATGGTACGCTGCGCGTACATGGTCAAGACCCCATAACCTGGCCAAGAGTGCACTACGCTGGGCATAGTTGCTGAGTACACCGAGCGTACTCAGTCTGAGTTGACCCGTTGACTTTTTAACTTTTGACCTTTGACCATGATTGACTTAGGGGTATTTTGGGTATTTTGAGATGTAGTTTGAGTTTAGGTTATTGTTTGTTGTATAGGTGACATGTAGAGTTGACACTTGGAGCAACATTCTTTTATGCTATCTTTTCAGACTGTGAGGTGAGTTTCCTCATTGTACTCATGGGTCGAAGGTACTAATGTCGGCCCACTAGTATATAGGATGTTGCTAAGATGTAATGACCTGTTACATTTGTATGATTATCTGTTTGTTGGTTATATGTTGTAACATCCATAAAAATCATGCCAAATTTAAACTTTTTAAAACATTTCAAAACCAATGATTATTACAAAACTTGTTTTCAAAAAATAGTATAATGCCAGAGTATCCCATAATCAAAACATGAAAACATAAGGAGGTGTACGATCACGCATTCGCCTTCCCGCGATCATCTGAAGTACCTGAACAAAATTAACAACTGTAAGCCCGAAGCTTAATGAGTTCCCCTAAAATACCAACGCCATACAAACATATCAATATATAAGCAAACAACATGCATAATGAGCCTTCAGCTTGATTGGACCGCCTCGCAGGGCCTTCAGCCTATTTGGACAGCTCTCGAGCCTTCGGCACGTCTGGACCGCCTCGCAGGGCCTACAGCCTATCCGGACCACTCGTCGGGCCTTCAGCATGACTGGACCGCCTCGTAGGGCCTACAGTCTATCCGGACCGCCCTGGGTATGTTGGCCTTCAGCACAAATCAGGATCGCCTCAACCCAACCCCCGATAAAACAATCATGTACACATAAATATCATACGCTAGCATATATAACAGTCAAACCGATCTAACAGATCACTAATCATAGCAACATCCTATAACCAGGATACAGACCTAACCGGTCACTAACATAGCATCATCCTATATACCAGGATACCGACCTAACCAGGTCACTAAGCATATCACCATCCTAACTACCAGGCTGTAAATCAATAAGCATATCATGTAATAAACCCGAATACAAATCCGAAAAGGGTCGGCATTCGTGCCTTAGACCCTGTTGATATAGTGAGAAGAACTTACCTCACAAATGTCAAACTGTAGTGATAAGATCAAACTCTCGAATCACAGCCACGAACTCCACCACCTATATTCATCATAGGACCACTTCCATAAATTCTCAATTTACTAAAATACCCCCCAGAAGTCAAACTGGTCAACCCCTGGTCAAATTCAAAGTCACCGGTCAAGGTTAACAGTCCATGTTGACCCAACTCATCGAGTGTAGTTCACTGACTCGTCGAGTCCTTCCAGGACTCGAGAAACCATGAAAACCCTAGTTGACTCGCCGAGTTTCCAGACAAATCGTCGAGTCCATGCATGTCCAAAAGCCAGGAAAACCCAAACTGACTCGTCGAGTCGTCTTGTTGAGTCGTCGAGTTCATGCAGAAACCAACAACGACCAATATTCATCGAAATCGTCGAGTTAACCATGCAACTCGTCGAGTCCCTTCAGTCCATTTCCCATTCATATATTTTTAAGCTACCCCAAAGCTCCAAATTGTAGATCCAGCTTCCTAAGGTATAGATACCACGTAAAGTTGCAAACTTTACGTGCATGCAAGGTCTTAAAGGCTTAGAACACCAAAACCAAGTCTAGAATGAGGTTTAGGACATGGTGAGAGGTCAATGCGAGCTAAACTTGATAGATTTATGAATTTGGGACCTAGAGGAGTCCAGATCTGAAGTTTCAACTTCAGATCATGGCCAATACCCGAAATAACTCCATAATAACCTAGAAATAACCCTAAACCTAGTATGAAGAGATCTAGCTTAGAGAAAAGTCAAGGTAACGACTTGTTACCTTCAAAATGATGCCAAGATGAAGTAGAGTCAGATCCACAAGCTCTTCTTTGCTCCAATCTCCTTAGACTTCAAGCCTTCATCACAAACACCACTTTCCAAGCTTCTTAACACACAAAGATGGAGTAAAATCGCGATTAGGGTTTTCTGAGCTCAAGGAGGACGGTAAGGGAGGTTGATGGAGGCTAATGACCCTTTAAATAGGGTGTAGAACCCTGTAAATTAGGGTTTCATTTTCCAGCTCCTACTCGTCGAGTCCGGGTCCTCCGACTCGTCGAGTAGGTCCAATAATCCACGCGGGCTAACCCGCCTCTACACGACGAGTTGGGGCAACCAACACGTCGAGTAGGTCCATGAACATGTATATAAGGCTTTAAAACTTATACCTGGGAGTCGTGGTGTTACATATGTTTATCTGTTGTGTATGTCGACATAGTGCGGTTGGGTTGAGGCAATATTGCTCTGTGTAGAAGCAAACAAACCCATAAGCAATCCATAAATAAGTTGTGGGCCAGAAAAACAATCCAGAATTATGTTGTGGGATCGGGAGCAAGTTAGATATAAGCTGAGGGACGGTAAGTCAAGCCATACTTATGATGTGGGCTCGGGAGCAATCCAGACATGAGCTGTAGGCCAGAAAAGCAAGCCAGACTCATGCTGTGGATTCAGGGGTAATCCAACCCGATGGCTGTGGACCCAATATGCATGTTGTTATATGTTTGGTTGGTGGTATTTTGGGGAAACACACTAAGCTTTGGCTTACCGTTTATGTTTTATGTTTCAAGTACTTCAGATGATCGGGGGAAAGCAAAGGCGTGATCGTATACATCCTTGGATGATATGTTTTGGAGTTGTTATCATACATTGATTTTGGAACATTTGCACTTGATCTTGGGTTTTTTCTTCTTGGGTTTGATTCAAAACAATGATTTTCTTTAACTAAAAATGAAATTTTTATTGGGATTTTTGGGATGTTACAAGTTGGTATCAGAGCCTGGGTTTGAGAGAATTGGATGAGCATTTGTGTGAATCTAGACTCAAACTAAGGATCTATAAAGTTTTCAAAATAATTTTCAATTTTTTTTTCAAATTTGTTTTCAAGGGTAACCAAAGAAATATGAGATGTGTATGATCAGCCGGAGCAAGAAAGGATACCCCACGATACCCACACTATTATTTGCTTATGATGATTATGATAGAACTACATGTTAGTTGTAGGCTATGGATCTTCAGTAATTTCATGATAGAATTCTCTGATGTATGATGCATGGTATCCTAAGAGAATTTCTTGTATGCTAGATGGAGTTGACATCATTACTATAGTTGTTTAGTGTGTGCATCACAGTTGTACATAACTAAGATTTATAGCCTGAGATTGTTTGATTTAGCCTTATTTCTTGTTCCTCGTCTGGTTGTGGGCTTACGGTAGAATCAAGTATTCATTTGTCTATGGAATCCAGTGTTATGTACAATTAGCATGCACGAACGACTACAGGGTTGGTGTAAGTTCCATGAGTGAATATAATTTATAGTAGGCCAGCGTGAGGAATAATTAGCCACTCTTGAGAGAGTAGATACAAGATGTATGTGTATCCTTGATGCATGGGCCTAGTGGTCCGAAATTTGCATGTAAGGATCTACTTGATTTTCATGGTGTCTTAGTGTCAAACGATTTCTCTGCTCGAATGTTGCTTGCTTTGTGCTTTGTGGGACTCATATTGATGTGAGTTAACTATTAAATGAATATATTAAGTTACATGCTACAAAGGTTAAATAAATTTAGAATGATTGATTCGACCCTATTATACAACTCACGTTTGAGTCTAACCGTTGTATGGTTGGGTCTTTTAGTCAAAAGATTATGTAAGTTTTGTTGCATGTAATTGTATTCATGAAGTGGTTAGCTGACACTAATAGGGGTTTTCAATAGTTGATGGTAGGGTGAGGTGGGGATCCTAGGAGAGCCTAGGAAGTGCTTTAGTGCGATTACGATGTTGTTTAGTGGGTTTTAGGAATAACATTATGAGGAGGTGACTTAGAACATTTGGGACGATTCTTGAGGAAAGTATGGATAGGTGTGGAAGGTAGTATTGTGCCCGTACTACTAGAAGCACATGATCCGTACTTGAATTGAGGAAAGTCACGAGGATTCTAAGAAGCCAGTAAAGGAATATGAGAA